TTAATTAACCTTTCAGTAATTTCCAATACAAATATAATATAACGCTATAAATATCAGAAGTGGTGAAGGGCCGCTGCATCTAGCCTCCACCCAGAAGGCAAAGAATCTTTCTCATTCCTTACACATCTAAAATACAGGGACCCGAAGATTACACTATTACATTATATTTCCAATCAACCAAAAAAAGGTACCATTAACTCCCTCGACATCCGCGAAATTTTGTGCGCCTTTTCTTCTTGAGACAAAGGAACCTTTTGTTTTGACAAAAACCAGTTCACGTTTAACAAATAAAATTGTAATATCGAAAAAAGAAGCGTTTTATTTTTAATTTAATTCTTACAAATCTGTTTTTAGATGCATATTGATGTATATGTGGATATGGGCATACGTGTCAACTGATACAAATTAATAATATGTACTAAGTCAGCGAAATCTTCAGCTATTGTTAGTTTAAGTTCGTTGGTAAGGTACTCGCGTCTCGTCACCTGCGCCTGCGACGAACGCGTGGGCAGTACACTATTGTATGCTAATTTTGGACCTCAACGCAGCTCTCAGCCTGTCTACACGCTGTGAAGAAATTGGAAAATGTCAAAATGATTACGGCCCTAAAATTAACATAATCGAATTTTATAATCTTAATCTAGTAAAACTAATTTCTATAAGAAAACAGTTGCATAATAAAACAAAATAATGGAATATTTAAATATTTACAAGCCACAAAATCTATGTTCACGAATTTACAGAAGAATTGGAAAATGTGAAATAAATAGTTTTTATTTAGGAGATGACTGTTAAAAATCATTCACTTTTTGTTCAAAATCTTAAAGTACAAGTGGCAAAATTTTGTACAACCAACTTTAATATAAATAAAATAAAAACATCATCAATGTAGTCGAAGTTAATTAAATACGCATTATTAAGGATAACTCAAAAACTACTGGTCAGAATTTTATCAAATTTATATAGGACGACATGAGAAGTACCAGCTTTCAAATAAAAAAAGGATCATCAAAATCGGTTCGCCAAGAAAAAAGTTCTGAGGTAACACATATAAAGAAAACATACAGTCGAATTGAGTACTCCTCCGTTTTTAGCAGTCGGTCAAAAAATTTATTTAATTATTTAATAGAATTCTAATCGGAATCATATCTACAAGATATTGAATCAAAAATAAAATAAATAGCTTAAAGAAACAAAAAACATCAAAAATTGTAGCTAGATTCATGCTATTTGTATTCATATTCAAATTTATTTTTAACAAAATTTTAAATTCTACACAAAGTTAAATGGTAGATCAGTAGAACATGTGTGTATTTAATCACTGTAATCACTCATACAAAATTCAGTTTTAAATAAAAATTAATGATCATAATATATTACACATTACAAATCTGGCTGCCACTAGTAGTTTTTTACTTACGGCCAAATACTCTACTTTTTATACGCGGTAGAGCCATGCTGCAGCTATATTAGTAGTATATTTGTAGCACGAATGGGTCGGCTCGACTGGAAAAGGATTACGCTCTCATAGAAAAACAGCATAAAATAGTAGCTTGACACTGCTGTGTTTCGAATGGTGAGTGTAGAGAACCAGAGACCCTTTTTACTGGAAAAGAGGCATTCCAACTTCGCCCTCACGGGTCACAACGCATCTGCATTGTGATTCGCAAACGAGGATAAATGTAGATGTCTATGGGCCACGGGAACCACTTACCATCAGGTGGACTGTGTGTTCGTTTGTCACTCTATCCTATAAAAAAATACTCAAATGCTACTCAATTTTAAGTTATCGTTAGGTCTCGTGGTGTCACGTCACTTTGAATTATAGTGATAGAGACAGCACGATACTTGAGGGCATCTTAAAATTTAGTAGCGTTTGAGTATTTGGGCATTAGAGAGCTATTAAATACGGTACGGAGTCTATCCCGCGTCCTTTATTAAGGACACAGGCTATGCTTTTTTCAAACTTTGCTTAAATAAATATTATATCAAAATTGATCGGACAATGCATCTTTTCAATCGTTGTTTTTGTAATTTGAAATATGTAGGCTCGACTTGCTACTGTGTACTTTTACGTGCATAACATAAATTTATCTTGTATAAATCACAATCATAACCAACAGAAAACTAATCAAAAATAGCATTTTCTTCGGCACCTATATTTTCATCATCATTACAGCCTTTATCAAGTCCACTGTTGAATATTGACCTCTATACATTTTAAAACGTTACCTCTACACTAGAATATTCTCCTGTATCGTGCGGAGGACAAACATCCAGACCCGTACCGGGTTTCGATGTTTGTCATTTATTTGTAGCCCCTACAAATACTTGTTCCTAATCCACTCTCTCATTGCTAATCCACTGCGCCACGGAGCGGTTAGACTTTCCTAAAGAAATGCTACATAAATTAAAATTGTAACACTAAATGTTTCAAATCAATTCAAGTATTATATAATTATACTTACGATTTCACTATTAAAAATAATTTTAAGCAACACTGTTGGAGTTTGGACTGAATTTAATGTAACCTTTCCTGATACATAGTTCATAGCTCCCCTTATTTGTAGTCAGCACTGAATGCAAAGTTCGGCAGTAAGTCATTTAGAACATTAAAGTGTACGGCCTAACTAGTGTTGTAGCAACTTCGCTTTTTTATTTATTCTGCGACGTAACATCATTAGATGTATCTACATCTTGCAGATTACGATGCAGGTTATAGTTTATTTGAGTCTCGCACTGTTCACTCACGAATCGTTTATGTCCAAAAATCTGAAAAGTCATAAACTAGAATAGTGATAAGCTCTGCTTGGGATCCTCAAACGCCCGAGTAGGCTCTAAAAAGTAGATTTTCGCACGAAGTACATACATATACTTAACATTGAGTTTCGAACTGAAACACAGATCACATTTCTACTGCTCTATACTCAATCGCTAATTATTTCGTATGGATCAATCTATGGCGTTTGCCTGACTTTGCAGTCTTTAATAAACTTAAGAGATCGAATAACAGTAGTGCGTGCTTAACATTTAGATTCTGGGCGTCGTGCTCTCTTGTAGCAACTAACAGAAACTACCGCTTCTTAGAGTTTCAAGATATCGAGCTTAATCTCTTTGTCTAAGAATCTTTAGTACACTTACATCGATTGTTTTCCTCGAAGATATTTGTAAAACTCCTTAATCTTAAGAAATTACTTGAAAAACCTATCAAAGAAAATATAATAACAGTCAGAAGTCGCAACCCCGACACAACGACAATATTTTTATTATATATATTTTTTGAAGTAAACAAAACCATAGCGGAATCTTAAATATTGTGAAATGCAAACGTTTCAAAAAACGTATATTTAACGTTTCCCTGTCCGCGATATAGATACAATAATTAAAAAATAGAAATGTTCATATATGATTCATGGTAAAAAGGTTAGATTAATTTTACAAATGAACGAAACCATATTATCTCTGGATATAAAAATGCATACGACGCAAAAAACGCTTACAGTTTTTTTTTCGTCACTCACAAACTCACATGAGCATAGAATAACTAAAACCAATATATATTGTGTAAAACTTATGTGTATATATATAAATATATTTAAAACGATTAAGAGTCTTTAAAATTTTATCCCTGGAAAATCGGAGAAATTTGCTTGACCTGTCATTTCTTGTTAAAATTTTTAAGCAAAAAATTGACGGTTCCCCTTTGCTCCAAAAATTTAAATTTCGTGTTATGTTGAGAATTCCTCGTGCTCCCATTACTCTGCTTTACCCTCCTTTTAGGAAATCTGTCTTAGGTGCAAACTCCCCAATTCCAAGGTTGTGCAAATTGGTCAATGGACATAGTGACTTAGTTGACATTCACGCCGACTCATTTGCCAAAATTAAGAAAGTTCTAGCTTTAGTCTGGTCTGAAACCAACAAATAAATTATATATTTTTTACCATATACTATTTTTATTATTAGGTAATTATACTTCTTTTTATTCGTATTTATAATTTTTCTCGATGCAAGTGGTGTTTCACTTAAACGATTGTTACACTTAGCTACATAAGTTAGTTCTTAAGCAATTTTATTACATACAGTGTAATCAAACATTGGTAAACCTTAAACCTAAAATTAAAAAATTAAAATTAAAAAATTGACCCGAGTCTGTCAATTTATTTAAAAGTTACACTATCACTAAAAGTCTACCAGCGATTATATACAATAAATGTAATTCATGGGGTGTTATTCAGAAATATGCGCCAATTTCAAGCGTCAACTTCACCTTTACGAGCCTCTGACGGCCGAGTGGCTGAAAACTTGTACCTTCTTTACCTTATAACCACTCAAATAACTTCGATACAAAAAATATAAACCGCGTGATAAACTTAGAAATGAGGACGATTAGCAGTTGAACCAGAGTAACCGGCATAGCCCAGCAGATTTGTAAGTTGAAGTGAACCAATACCCAAGGGGAAGAAAAGTTCTTGAGTAGTCACCTAGTGTCGGTAAGTGAAATGTAAGGCGGATCTCCACTAGACGGAGTGACGATCTGGTAAAATATGCAGGAAGTCGATGGATATAGGTGGCTCAGAACCGTTCTATGTGACATTCCTTGAGGGGGGCCTATGTTCAGCAATGATGATGATGATGATGACGAAAAATATTGATCATTTTAACGCTTTCATGTACAGAAAATTCCATACAATATTTTCACAAATTCCATACAATATTTTTCCTGCAAAGCGGAAAACCCACAATAATTTAATACAATGCAGTGAAATTTCAAAATTGTTAATCTCTAATAATGATATCTAAAACTATGAGAATTACTGTAAGAGACTGTCACGTTTCCCAGGGCTTTGACAAAGGAACCTTGTGCTCGAAAACGATCTAATCCTTTTTTAAAAGCCTGAGCTGTAAATACGGATACTCCTATAGAAATAGAATTTGGTCGATCATCTGTCCCCACTAGTGTTAACTAATCATGTATTCAATGAAATTTGTTTTCTCCACAGACATCTGAGCTAGAGTCGCTGCTCTGCAAGCAAGAGGGTGCTTCTCTTGCGCCCGCCCACATGGACCTTTTCGACGGTGGACCTTCTTCCCGAGATGATGCATTCCTCCGTCCTGCGCTATGGGAGGATATCGCCTCTTCCATCAGAAATATTGACCCTGAAAATGCAAATATGCTCGCCCCACTTGGAGCTACTCACGTCAAGCTTGAGGCTGATGATCCTTTGCTTGAGGAGTGCGCTACACCACTTCTCAGTCCACTCGAAATTAAGACGGAGAGATTATGCGCACCACCAACGTACACACACCCTCAGCCACCTCACCAGCAGCCTCAGCATCAACCTGCAACTTCCTTCGCTAAATACCCGCCTTCAAGACTGGTGTACATGTCCCCATTAACGCCTCCCGGCTCCGACCAAGGCAGTCCAGGAAACTCCATGCAGGTAAATAGTATTAAGTATTAAATGTGTAACCGCTATGCGTCTGCTTGCGATGAAGCGATCGATGGTACCATTTTCTGCAAAGCGATTGTTTTTGTTCCACCTATATTTTACGTTTTAGCGACTCCGGACGCGACGAGCAACGGTAAGCTACTCGTAGTATAATAAATTTACCAGAGAAACTAGAACGAATTAGCATTAGTTACTATGTGTAACAAGATATTCATAATGATTTAATAAACAATTTTCAAAGCAATGTACGTATTAATATACTTCCTTTTTACGGTACATTAACTATCAGTATTTTTAATTAGCCACAATAGTAAAATCGACGAAGTATTTTTTAATTATATTAATTTTATAAAAAAGCGAACAAAGGTAAATTTACTTTACAGGCTAGTGACATGAAAAAACACAATGCTATGTTTATTTCTAGGGCGGCCCACGACGGACGCCCCCGCCGCCCTACCACCCCCCACCTTTGCTCCGAGCGCCTCACGCACCCCACGGGCCCCACGTGCCGCCACATCCAACGACGCATGCTCATCACCATTCTCAGGTACGTCCAATTTTTACGAACGTATAAAATAGGTATTACAAGTCCTTATAAAGATTTTTCTAAAAAGAATTTATAAAAATTCCGTAACAAACATACGTCCATGGTAACAAACAAAAACACTAGACCTTTTACAGCGCTATCGGGCATCAGTTTGGATATTACATTAATAATAATACAATGCTGGATATTCCATCTACTATATTATATTAATAATGAGTAGTGGCGGTGTAAGAATAAGTCCAGTACGTGTCGTAAGAAACGAAAGAGAAGATGGGCAGGAGCGTCTTTCTAATAACAAATAAAAAAACTGCGGCTGCCAACCAGCCCCCCAAGCGTGGCAATTATGGCAGATATCACTCCCTGTGAAGTAATAGGGGGAGACCTATGTTCAGCAGTGGACTTTTGATAGCCTGTCATGATGATGAATGGTGAATTAAGAAAGTAGTTTCTGTCAAGTATTTTTAAAACTGCCAAAAATACGATAATTTAAGTTAATAATATGAATAAAGTGAAACCTGGTTAATTGGAATCTCAAGGGACCAAGACGTATGTACCATTTATTGAGGGTTTCCAATAATCCAGTTTTCTAAATAAGCAGGTTTAAAATATGGTTGTCTCATTTACAGAGGCCCCCGCAAACAAAGCATGCGCGAAAGACGACGCGAAATGTATGTAAACAAACATGTCAAAACGTGTTAAAACCAGATTAATTTGTCTCACTTATACAGGTAATTGAGCTACTGAGTCTCAATTATAGAGGTAAACATCGAAAAATTCCTAGAATTCAAATCTCATTTAACCAGGTTCAAAATGTCCCATTAACAGAGGTAATTTAATGAAAAAGAACCGGAACCTCATTGCAACTCTCAATAACAGAGGTTTCTCACTTATCCAGGTCCCACTTAACCAGGTTTCACTGTATATATTTACTAGCAAACCCTCTTAAAGTCATTTAGTCAGTTTTTAAACAACTTCTAAAGAAGGGTGACGATCTCGATTCGTTATGTTTTTGTATGTTACTCGATATCTTTGTAAATTGTGGACCGACTTTAATGTCTTAGAGGGTCAGAAAATCATACTTTTAATCAAAAGTAGAGTGGATTTCAGAAAACTTTACACTATGACTTAACAACGACTTCTAAAGCTAATGTAAAATTTATTATTATACAATATGTAACAAAAACCCTGTGGTTCCCGTTAAGTACGTTATCAGGATCATTAGTCAAACGTATAGAAATAACTTTTTTTTAAACTGGAACAATATTTATTTTTATTTTATTTAAAAAAAATGTATGCAAATTGTAGGTTTTATTACCTCTGCATTGTCTGGGGAGTAAGAGGATTGTCAAAGACCCCGCTTTACTTAGTTTTAGCATCGGCTAGTGTCAGTAAGAGGTAATAAAACCACATAGAATTTAAATAAATATATAAAATTAATGAAAAAATATGGTGGAGTTAAAAAAAAAGTTATCTCTATATCGAGTTTGAATACGTATTTTTAGTTCTTTGAAGTTAGCTTTCACGTTTGATTAAAAGTCTATTGATTTTGTTATATAGAGGTTCTATGCCACGTTCATCGACGCCTTATTTAACGAACCAACCCTTATGATATTAACATGTTAAAGTTAATCAGCACTAAAAACAAATGATATACATTTAGGCCACTATCAACATATTGAAGGAGTTGAAAGTTTACTTAGAATGATTTAAAAATATTTTTCAACCGAGCTCAAAAACACAAAATTACTGAGAGAAAAATTAACATAAGATCGGAACAACTAATCATGATTAAGGGAAATATTATGAAAACCGACTTTAAGTAATAAGAAATTTTAATTTTCGCCTACCTGCTTTTATTATATGGTTGAGCTATAGTCAAAGTGTGTATTATATACTTAATCACTATAATGTTTAATTAAGATGTTGAGTAATTTCAATTGACATTTTATTAATTAACCTCCTGCGGGTTAGCTAAGTTTCTTCCTACAATTGACAGCGCTAGTAGAATACTATAAAAATGAATGAAAAGGAACGTTGAGTTGTGCTCAACGTTAAGTCATGTAACATTCATGTGGCTTATCGTTGATTTTATTCACTTGTATAGTTTTCTATTAGCGTTAAAGATTTTAGAATATCAACTTCGACATGGCCTTAAAAATAAAAAGTAAAAAGTTAAAGAGTATTTAAATTTATAATTACTGAAGTCCCATATTTTCTCGAGCATATATGAATTTAATATACTTATGTTCGAGAAAATATGTGACAATTGTCTCACGCTTAAGGAATTTACTTTAACATCCATATAACCATGAAATTTTAGTAGGACAGCCCTATGCGGATCTACATTACTCGTACTGCCGTGCACTTAACGTTTATTAATTAGTATTGAGTCATAATCCTAGGATCTCGGATTTTAACCCAGTATTCGTTGTAGCATTTTGAATTTATATAAACGACTTTCAAGGTAACGACTTGCTCATATTTGATCTTTTACAAGCCGATAAAATTCCCGAAAATTGTAACAAGATAAGAATATCATATTCTTGTTCCTTACTTACTTATCTTCACGCACAATCCCTGACGGGGTAGCCAGAGAGAACAGATCGCCAAGTGTCACGATCCTTACATACCTCTTTCGCTTCTTTCAGATTCATTATCTTCTTCATACATGCACGACTAGGTATCCGATTACTCTTGACCCTCCCCTCTTCGAGCAATTTGCTCACATGGTCTTCGAAAGTTAGTCTCGGTCTACCTCGACACCTTTTAATATTTACTTTCGCGCTATATATTTTCTTCACCATTCGGTCTTCACTCATTCGCTCAACGTGCCCAAACCATCGAAGCACGCCCTTATCAATTTTTGTGATAAGGTCATCTTTCAAACCTGCCATATTGCGAATCTCTTCGTTTCGCTTTCGGTCGGCCATGGTAACGCCGCACATTTTACGAAGAGATCGCATCTCCACTGCATTCAACTTACTTTTATGCTTCTTCTAGTATACCCAGGTTTCGCTGCCATATAACAAAGTCGGTACCAACACTGCGTTATGTATTGCAAGGCGTGCACTCTTCACTACGCCTTCCCTTTTGACTAAGGCAGGCAGGACACCATTGACTTTGTTCCCGGCAGCGACACGCCTGTCCATATCTAAATCACATCTTCCATCCCGGCTGAAAGCACTCCCCAAGTATACAATTTCATTTACCTGTTCTAGACATTCCTGATTTACCCATATTTCACACTTCGTTCTCTCTTCGTCCCTTTCAAATACCAGAACCTTAGTTTTATTCAAACGGAGACCTTTAATTTCACATTCCTCTTTCATACACGTGACTAATGCCTGCAGTTCTGCCTCTGATGGTGCAATAAACACTGCATCATCAGCATACAGCAGACAATTTACTTTAATGTCACCCAATTCCACACCCAAACGGCTATCTTTCAGCTTCTGTAAACAGCTGTCGAGATACAGTATGAACAGCCAGGAAGACATGACACAACCCTGTTTTACGCCCGTTTGGACGCTAAACAAACGCTAAATATTCTTGTTCCTCAGGATATAATATGGTATGTAGTCAGCTATAAAATTTACTGAAAGTTAAACTTATTTTATCCTACTTACAATTCTCTATTGTTTAAGAAGTATAATGTTTAGGTAATAGTTTTATCTTATTTGTATAACACACGGAACAAGTAGGTGTAATAAATTAAATTTTACTTGAAACTGATGACACAAAATTAGTTATTTCACACGTAAGCGGCGTATTAACGTATATTTAAGCATATACAAGTAAGCGGTAAGCGTTTCGTTATGTCTCAGTAATATTTAATGATACGTCAATAAGTAATTAACGGTTATATAACATGACGGCCGAATAAGCCGTTTACTTCAAAATGCGTCACTGCGCTTGTAGCTTGCGTAGTAGATTTTACCCGACTGCCTAAGAAGGATATGTATATTCTATGGTACGTCTATTTCTTTGGCACGCTTTTTAGTTTAAACGGCTTGATGGTTTTTAACATATTATGAAGTGTCGTTAGATTCGTCTTAATTCTAGCAGCGACATAGGCTATATAAAATTTATAGTGTTATTTTGCAATAACCGGCCTAATTTGCAGGGTAGGTTCAGAATATGTAATATAGGCAAATGGTGAAGAAAGATTAATAAAAAAAATCTCAAACATTCTGTCCTTTTTATATTTTAAAATGCATGGTAATGCATTATTTTAACTGATTTTACTGCGTCCGCACACATTCGTAGCGTTCGATCGGTAAACCAAAACGTTGTTGCCCATAAATCACATTCAATTTGGGATAATTTCAAATAAAAGTAGAAGCCGTATTTACTCGTATTTTCAAAAACTACAATAACGGTGTATCATTATTTATATATTTGAACTTAAATTTAAAATTTGGCTACTCTTTGAAAAATAACCCTGTATATTGCAACTGCAATTACTAAAAACGTGGGGAAGGTTTTATCAGTAAACTTTTTAACGCGGTCGGGTTTTCTTAATTACTGTTTAACCATTAAGATTGTTGATATCGTAATGGTTGTTGGCAGTGTACATATAAGTATTACCACAAATTATGCTATTGATTTTCCGTATTAATGAGATAACTGTTGTGTTCAGGCAATGTCCCAGCAGATGCAAATGGCGCCGCAGCAGCCGACGCCCGCAGCGCCGCATCAAAACTCTCCGCTACCGCACTCGCGGCTAGCACCGCCACAGTCCGTCAAATACAACAGGCGGAACAATCCCGAGCTCGAGAAGAGAAGAGTGCACCATTGTGACTTCATTGGTAATTTCAGTTCATTCCTCCATCTCATTGAAACTTGAAGAACTTGAATAACGAGGAGAATATTTATTCTTTTATATCTTCTCAAATGTACGTATGAAAATATAGTGTGTATATAAATAATTTACTATATGGTATGTTGTTTTGCTAATCAGCCAAACAATAACTATTCGCGTGAAGTCTACTTATTTTATATTATACTTACATATACATATTATACACTTATAACTTATGTACACATACACCGTACACATTCTAACACACACACTATCACGCTATACGTGCAATATTTTTAAAAGTTAACTTTTGGCATCTGAAAGCCTCAGTTACCCATCAATTAGCGTGCAAGCTTGTTTTATTACTATGATGTTATAAAAGTTTGAACATTTAACATGTTGTAATAATATATATTACGTAAGGTATTCCTCAAAACCTGAAAACAAAAATATACAACTAGTTGAGGAAAGAACTCAGCATGCTATAGAGACGTAGACGCTTGTAATTTCCTATATGTCACTAATATTTTAATAGATTTGTAACAGAGTTCTTGTTCTGCGTACAGTAAACTGGTATGTATTGATCTCTATTATTACTTAAATTTTAAATAAAATCAATGATTTTGTTTCCCTTTTTCGTAGTTTACAATTTTCTTTTCTTATAAAGGTGATAGTCGTTTATTCGTTAATTCTTAAAAAGGTATAAGTCGGCAAACATTATCCATAATCTCATACCAATCACTATCTGTCTTATTACAAAACATGGTTTATTGATAGTCTGAAGTTAAGCTTTCTTTTAAAATATTAGTGACATATAGGAGCAATGATCCGGACTAATAGTCTGAAGAACCCATAATCGACGAGGAATATAAGGTTCTAGAGCGATACCTTCTTATCCGGAAATGCAGTTAAAGCGAATCATTCTAATAAAATGACGACATGATAAAGAAATCAGTAATGGAGGTACATTGCATAGGGCCTAGTTTTTCGACATGCTATGGGTTAAGCTTACGTTCAATAATGAAGTAATAAAGAAAGTAAGGATGATTATTTAACAATCAAGTTACCAATTTTAAAAACCACATCGAGAAGTAAAAAGATTCATAGTGTTTGTTTTGCGGCTTTAGATTTTATATATTTACTAAATTATTAATAGCATTGACGGTGAGCAACGTCAACGTGGTAACAAACAAGCACACAGTCCACCTGAAGGTAAGTAGATGCTGCGGCCCATAGACATCTACATTTATTCTCGATTAAGAACCAAAATGCAGATGCATTGTCAACAATAAGGACTAAGATGGAATGCCTCGTTTCCAGTAACAAGGGTCTCCGGTTCTCTGCACTCACCATATGAAACACAGCAGCATTAAGCTGCTATTTTACGCTGATATTCAGTGAGAGCATGGTCCTACCCCGGTCGAGCCGACCCATTCGCGGTACAACCATAATATAGCTGCAGCGTGGCTCTACCACGTATAAATCTATTCCTACAAAGGGAGAGGCCTCTGTCCAAGTAGACTTTTAAGGTCTAGTGAAGACGGTGATATCAACACATCGTGACATATTGATATAAAACTAATGAAAAAAATCTTCCTTTCGTGTGAAGTGAAAAAAGTGTCGTAAGAAAACCCATCACACCATTTCATCCCGTGGGCAGCGTAAGAAGCAATTATGGGAAATGTCAAAAATATGTCATGGCTTTCGATAGATGGTAGATACCATCTCATGTTGCCAGGGTAAATAACCAGACGTCAAGTACTGCGATCTCTAATCCACCTGACGAGCGTGGTGTTGAAGATCGTCTGATGATGGAGATGAAGAAAACTCTGTGATTTAATTAAATTAAAAAAAAATCTGTGAATAAGTGTTGTTTCTCAAACTGTTTCAGGATGCACAAAAGTTTACACCAAGAGTTCACATCTAAAAGCTCATCAACGTATACATACAGGTAATAAAAATACCTATACCTAATTATAATATATATTATAAAGTATTTTATAAATGTTTTAGCATTGCGAATTGTGTACTCAATGATGCGAACGCGAAAATATTTTATGTAAATTGTGAAACAGAATCTAATTATTATCTGTTGCACACGTAACAACAATAATTGCTTATATTGCTTATTAAAATAACTTCCCTTTAAAATACAAACACTGACATCCCGCTTTAAAAGCGTAGCGAAAGCTTTGACTACTTGCAGACAAGAAGTAATAACACTGAGTCGAAGTGTCACTTCTAACTTTAGACAAATCTAATTCATTTTTCATTGAATTCAAATATTAGTTTTACTGTATACTTTTACGATTTTATATGAACCATGTGTACAGTTATTTAAAAAAAAGGTATCGAGAAAGTACCTTTATCCAAGAAATAGACTTGCAAGTCTATTTCTTGGATGAAGGTACTTAAACAGTATGTCTAATTGTAGTTAATCTAGTAAGAATAAAAGTATAAATATCCAAAAATCTGCAATTAAGGAATTTAAAATTCAATTAAAATTTAAACAATGAATATTTTTACAAGCTTCAATGACAACAGTAACTATTACGGTTATTAAACACAGAAAAAACATATGATAGACAATAAAATCAGGTTTGTTATTAAATAGGTGAAAAACCATACACCTGCCAGTGGCCAGAGTGCGAATGGAGATTCGCGCGTTCGGACGAGTTAACGCGTCACTACCGCAAGCACACCGGCGCTAAGCCGTTTAAATGCGCAGTTTGTGAACGCTCCTTTGCCAGATCGGATCACCTCGCGCTGCACATGAAACGACACCTGCCCAAGTCTTCTAAATGACATGCGAGGAGGGGCGGTGAGCAACCGTCCGCGCCTCCCCCTGTTCAGGTATTTCATTTATTAGCGCTAATTCATAATCAATCTAATGCATAATTCATAAATATCATAAAGGCATTATATGACATACACGCTAAAAATGACAAGCACACAGGAACAACAGCGACACTATCATTAGTTCATTAGGTTATCAGCATGAACCTGTACGAGTACGAAGCATTATATTATATTGTAATATTTTCCTTTGTTTTTGTCAGTTCCGAATTCAAAACCGAAATTAAATATACAAAGCTCAAAATCTTTACTTTTGCAGAAATTATGAAATCAAAATGCAATGGCGAAATATAATTTTCATCATTCATGACAGCCTATTGAAAGTCACAACAGCCACTAGATTATATGATAATCTGACAAGACATTAGGGAAGTCAAGTAAGTGGCTCAGCAATCCTTGGGAGAGGCCTATGTTCATTGTTCAGCAGTGGACTTGTGCGGAGCTGTAATGATGATGATGATGAATATTTTGTAATTATATCTATAGCTTTCATCTGTAATGTAAGTAAATAAAAAAGGCATTACGACTGGGTTTTTTTTTTGCGTATTGGATCTACCGAATCTCTGGGTCAGAAGTTAGAGCATTCCCAGAAACTTCTTCGCGCGTGGAATACACGAACCCGATCGAACATTATTTATATATATATATATATATATATATATATATATATATATATATATATATATATATATATATATATATATAATAAGAGTGACAAACGAACACACAGCCACCTGATGATAAGTGGATGCTGTGGCCCATAGACATCTACATTAATACTCAATTAAGAATCAAAATTCAGATGTGTTGCCACCCTTAAGGACTAAGATGGAATGCCTACAACAATAAAATAGCTGCAGCGTGGCTCTACCACATCAACAATATGTAATGTATAAATAAAAAGTATAATATAAACAATCTTTTGGTTAATTTCTTAGGCCCCAAGTAATTAAACAATGTTTTTTCTGAGCACATATTTAATATCTATATTCTATCTATAAGCTTTTAAAGTTAGAAACAAAGTACTCCCAAAATCGAAATCGCAAACAAATGCCAAGCAAAATATATTCAATTTAATCGCAGCCGAGTTGATCACGGCGCACTGTCCAGTTGTAAAGTAAATGGCTGTCATTTTCTCTTAACGTTGTAAAAGATCAGGGTAATTGAAACCCACATGCTGAAGCGCGATGGAACACGCCACATCGATTATACGCCTTTCACGACCTAAATAGGTATGACCAGTTCACATAATAATACGTTACGTTGTTTAATACTAAGATGCAGTGAAGGTAAAATATCTTCGTACAAACCCTATATGAGCTTAGATTACTTCGGACAAACATGAAATAATAAGCATTCATCATCATCATTACAGCCCTTTACAAGTCCTCTGCTGAACATAGTCCTCCTCTTACTTCGAAACTCCAACTTAATAAATTAACATACAAACAAAAAAAGCAAATGTTATTCATATATTATGTTAGTATAATTTGCTATAGTACGGCCATTAATCAATGTTACAAAAAAAGCTTATGGAACTAAAAAATTATTTAGGAATTCATGTAGTCTGTTTGCCAATAACCCAATAATATGTAATATGCTCAAGTAAAAGTAAAGTAAACACTATCTAGTTACTTTTCTTACGGCGATTTTATAAAAAGCTAATTAGTTAAGTTTTTATAAAAATAAGTAATTTTGTCAATCAGTGGTAGAGCCATGCGGCAGCTTTTGCTGTCGCACGGATGGGCCGGCTCGAACCGGGGTGGTACCACGACCTCACAAAAAACCAGCGTGAAGTAGAGCTTTACCTCTGCGTTTCGCTTGGTGAGTGCAGGTGGCTGGAGGCCCTTTTTACTGGAAATGAGGCGTTCCATCTTGGTCCTCACGGGTGACAACGCATCTACATTTTGATTTCTAATAGAGGATAGATGTAGATGTCTATGGGCCGCAGCTACCACTTACCATCAGGTGGACTGTGTGCTCGTTTGTCACCCTTATCCTATAAAAAAAAAGTTAAAATAAAAAACACCTACATAATATAAAATAATTGTACATTTTCCCTGTTACATGCACAAAAATTTGTAAGTGTTTGTTTGGTACTATTTTTCAGGAGGAGTGTAATGAGAACATCTTTCTGGAATGCGAACTGGAGTCAAGCTTTATGGACACATTGTATGGAGTACTGTGATTGAGCACAGACTTTAGTGAAAGTGCAGGCCCAGGCCTCTTACGGGCTGACATTTAATAAGAAAGATATTATATTATTTAAATGCGAAGTTGCTGCAAATTGATTTAATGTCATTTTGAATCTAGAAAGATTTTTATTCATACCTTTCAATAAAGCTGTCGTAAAATTGTATAATTAGGACATTTCGATATATAGAATTGAGTCAAAAAGTGATGGAAGTACGAACTTGCAAGAAACCAGTTAACCATTACGTATTTTAATATATCGTTTTAAAAGCACAATAGGTACAATCATTACCAAGGAAATCGCTTTACATACAAACGTAATTATTTTATAAATTATTAGAACAGAGTTATCTATTGAGCAACCAAGATACACTGAAAGTATTTTATAAATATTTATGTACATTAAAAATGATGATTACGGACTAAGTTACGGAAGTTTTCGCGACACTTTGCTATGTAGTTAAAGACGCTTACGAATTTTGTGTCATATATACATTTGTAATAAATGACATTTGCAATAAATTTTATCTTGCCCTATGATGTATTAAAACTCCGAATATGATATTATGAACTCTCATTATCATAGAATAATAGTTGTTATTGTTTCTTGCTGTTTGTTATTTAATAATCCGCTATTAAATGCTCACTGTGAGCAATGGTGTCGCGAAGATATTGTTCAAAAGAGCTCTAAGTATTCATTAGATTTGATTAATTTATTATAAGCTAATTAAAGTTAAGAAAAAGGAATATCCAAGATATAGATTATTATCTTTATTGTAATGAAATAAAAATACAATTAGCTAGTAGATATTAGTTTTAAACATTCAGACGCGTATTCGGATCTTACGACCTGGGTTGTGAACTTTGATTTATTTAGTAACAATAAACTTTTTTTATTTGAAACTAAAAAATTGTGGATAGCTTTCAAGATAACAACGGCATGAACACTTTCTAACATGTCCCAAGCATCACAAGCGTTCATTAATAGGGCGAGGCTATTCGTAAATTCATATTCTGATATTCCAATGCCCTTGCTCGTATAGTGATCAGATATCGTAACGCCTTTTACTATTGTAAAGAGCAATTTATTTATCTAAGAACCCATACAAACTAAGCCACTTTTGAACAGACATCACTGTGCACTCATTTTCATAGCCAAACGGACTGCCGTGTACGAATAAAGCCCGTGCTATCCGTGCTGGCCGATCCGTGTAAAGTACCGTAGCACGTCAAGCGCTACTCTACATTACTTATTTAACGTCATAATATGTTGTTAAAGATTCATCTATAATTATCGTGACTTCAGGTCGTTTTATTCGGACTCGCAAATTACACTTTCTAGTCTCGATTAATTTCAATTCTTAAATAGTCACAAAAAGAACACCATTAACAAAATATCGCCCTTTATTCAGTTAAATAAACTTCATACCTATAAACGGATAAAAAATAAATTGTATATTTCATTTATTCACATGATATTGTATAAACAAAGTACATTATTAATGTTCTAGATATTATCACTATAAGCTTAAGCTGATAAGAAATAAATATGTAAGTACCTAAATCAGTCACCCTTATAGCCTCCGTCCAACACAATGATACATTTTGTAATATTCCCAGTGCCTTTATAACACGAAACTTTTTTAATGTATCCTTACACTTAATAATCACAATTGCCATTATTAATAGTCACTAGTGATTTCTACTGTTGTAAGTTACGCTTACTGTATTATATATTAACTTTCGAATGTTATAATAGTCATTTGTTATATTTAATAAAACTGTGCCTTCAAAACGTGTTCTGGGTCCTGCAGGTTTCTTAAATATTACCTTATTCAAAAAAGTATAAAGAAAATAATAAATTTCTCTAAATCGTCACAAGTCTGTGGGATAATCCCGCAATAACAATAACAGTAATCCTACAATATAATGGTGAATAAAATAACCATGCAAAATTCAAATGCGTTTTGTCTGTCTTATGCACTCTTCCATAAACCCTGACGACACTCTAAAGGTAAATTTAATAATAATGTAACTAACTACGTGAGACTTTTGATTAAATAACATTCATTCCACGTTACAAAGCCATTTTAAATTCTAGATTTTTTTTATGAATGATACCATTAGTAAGTATTTACAATTTCAACACGAGAAAAATATGAAATATCCACTTATATTAAAACTTTGACAATTCCTTAAGAAAATGAAACACTTACAATCCAAAAATAATAATATAATTTAGTTACCTATTTTTCAGCCTCGATCATAAAAATAAACCATGCTTTAACAAAATTTGTAATTAACTTTAAAACATTAATGTTAATTGAGCATTAGATGACCTGCTAATAAACTGTGAAAACGTAGCAACATTGTAGATTGAAGTTTGTTTATTTTATTTTATATATACAATGTAGGGATGCCTATTGTCTGTAGATTTTACAGAATAAGAATATTATCTTATCCATAAAGAAATTATAGTTCTCGTAAATGTACCCAAACCGTTATTTTGTAAAACTGAAGTGCATGGGTTCACGCTATATTTTATTGGTAGATTTATATCAATTTATTTTTGTAATATGTATGAAATAACTATATCTTGCCACTTTCTCCTGCATTTAGTTAAATGGTAAATATTTTTATTAAGTACATGCTTTTTTCGACGAGAGTTAAAATGATTATCTAAAGCGGTTGTTATGGAAAAACAATTAATAAAGATTGCTCTAATTATTGCTAAAATTTAGTATAAACATTGCCAA